TCCTTCCTTCTCTAGTTCTTAAGGGGGGAAAAAAAGTCAACATTTAGAGTATTTTCCCCTCATTTGAACATTAAGTCGATATTAATTGTGCTGACGTATTTTAATTTTTCCAACATATATTACCTGTAGATTAGTCCTATACTAGATGTTAGGGAAGTTGGTATAACAAAACAGTTAAATATTCTTTTTTTTAAATATATTTTTTAGTTATCCATGGACCTTTATTTTATTTATTTATATGTGGTGCTGAAAATCGAACCCAGTGCCTCACACATGCTAGGCAAATGCTTTACCACTGAGCTACAACCACATCCCCAAATATTCTCTTTTTGAAATCCATATAAAGTACTGAGGAAGACAAAACATTCAATAAATAATTATATTATACAGTACAAAGTGATGCTACAAAGTGATATAAAAAGGTAAAAGTAAATTTTTACTTTTCCAGAATATATGTATTTTAAGAATCTGGAGTGAATTATAAATTCAATTTTGTCCTTGAAATTTTTTATAACAATAGAATTATTAAGAGTAGTTGACACTAGAAGTTAAAATATAATTAGTGCCTTTGCAGGTAGGCTTTAATTTACATAAAAGACACTTGGGAAATTTAATGTATTATAAAATTAGTCTGTCACATAACTTTTTAAAAGAAAAAAATAGATTAAAAATTATGAAACAAGGATTCCTAAAAAACAAATCACAGCTATGATTACTAGTATATCCAAGATAAGAGATTTATAAGCCTTTCAACATTTGATAAAACCTTTGGATTCTTTTTCCCATAGAAACAACAAATTTACATATAGTTTCAGGTAGTTACAGATCCTTGGAAATACATCATCAAATTCCCAAGAGATATTAAGACTAATTCAACAAAATAGGTACTGAGGATATGATGATGACTAAGAATTTAAAGCCAGGTGGAAGGGATATAAAATCTTTCATATAGACACACACACACAAAGTATTGCACACACTGCAAAGAAATGATGGTATGAGAAATTATAAAAGGGGTAAATGAAAACCAAGAACAATTTCCCTGCAAAAGAAATAAATGAAATAAGACTAAGGAGAAGAAAAACAGTTTCAGATAAGATGATCAGCATGTGCAGAGAACCTGTAGAGGGGTATAAGAGTAGCACAGAAAAGTCTGTGCAGTTAAAGTACAGATACTTCAAGGAAGAGGTATATAAGAGAAAGTGAAGAGATTGCCCTCATTTGGGTTAGCCTTTATCAAAAGCAACCTACTGAGTTTTAAGCAAGGGAGTGGATGTGATGTGTTCTAAAGACAGCACTCAAACTGCAGTACGAGATCAGACTGAAGTCTGATAAGAGTCAAGTTAACTAGCTGTGGAAATAGTACAGTAATTCTGGTTGTAGACATAATCTGGATAAGGACAACAGTGGTGATGGAAAAAAAATGAAAAGATTAGAATTAGTGAATTTGAGCTTTTTTTCCAAGTATATTTTGTTTCTTCTTCTTTTTGTTTTTTGCTTTGATGGGATACTGTTATAGCAAGAATTGCTTTGCCCCATTGATGGATATCCCCTGTCCAAATGGGGTGTCCTGTCAGATCTTAAAAAAGGAGACTATTCCTGCCCCAAGTCATAAATTAACAGTACTGGAACCTACTGCCACATCCTTTGTGACCAGCAGCCTCTATCCTCCATGGGCAAAAGGGGATGAATAGCAGGGCAGAGGCCAAGTTCTCTTTGCCCATTTTTCTACAGCCCAGATAGGTTTTGGGGGATATTTTTTCACCCCATCTTAGGGTTAGTGTCCTTGAACAAACAATTAGATGATCTGCAGTCGCAGATCTGCCTGGGGCCAGCTGAACAAAACAGTGCTGGCAATGTCGCTTTAACCTTTTCTTCTGGTATCCTGCTATCCTCACACACCATCTGGCATCTTCAACTTAGTTCCTGATTGTTCAGACCCCTTATCATGCAACTGCATAAATGACTGTACATACAGAATCTCTTCCATATACTTTACCCCTGACAGACCAGCTTCAACTGCAAAATTATATAATAATCCAGAAAAAACATTCAAAATTTAGATTGTATTACAGTAAAACATGTTTCTCTTAGATAGGCTTATACCTGTAAGTGGCCCATTCAGCCAAGATCTCTTTTCTCTCTAGAGACTACTGGTAAGATCAACCCAGCACGGCCCATGTCTCAAAGGGCCAGCAGCAGATACAAAACAAACAAAAAAAAAAACCAAAGACAAAAACAGAGAGACAAACAACTAGACAGGCTCTTCAAAATTTTAAATTGACCAGCCAAGATTTTTCCCAAGAGACTACCTATAGAATCAATGAAGTATTGGGCATGTCTTAAAAGGGCCAGTAACATACCAAAACAAACAAACAACAACAACAACAAAAAAAAAAACACCACCAAAACACAGACAACCAAAGGGAATTCCCAAACCCAAGGCCAACAAACAGATAAGAACCTAGGAGACATCAGAAGGGAGAAAATATCCCTAGGTTCTTGATTCCTGCTTAACCATGATTCCTACATGAAGTGGCATCACAGATGTTCCCACAAAGAGGAAGCAGAGGTGTGAAATCAAGGGTCTCTGCATGCATGGTGAGGGATTTACCAGATGGCTAAGGATGTCACAACTTTACTGAGTTCAGTTTACATTTTCTCAAAATGAACCAGGATTGAACAACCTGTACCATTCAGGGAGAGAAGGTGGGAGTTCCCTGAAGCTCTTTTTTGCTTCAGAAGCTGCTGGGTTAGTGCCTCAGTCCCTCCCTTTAATCACAGGAATAGCTCTTTTGGTCGAACCCAAGGCAAACTCCCATCTTCTAACTCTCTACAGTTGGCTCTCAACAAGTTTGCCTGTCAACTTGCATCCTTAGCATGGGAGTAGGGTTCCTTGGAACCCTAGCTGCCCAAAAAAGCTGGAACAGGGAATGCTCTTAGGTCCCACCTGGGGTGCCAAATTTGTTACTAAAAGCTCAGTTCTTGTTTCCATTGCCAATCCAATAAGGAGGAAACAGTTCTGAGAAAAAGGTGGTTTATTGATTTGCTAGCAAAGGAGAATCACAGGGGACTCCTGTCCCAGAGGCTGTGATTCAAACATAATTTCTTTCTGGAGAAATTGCCCATTTTCTACAACAGTTTCTCTTAATTTCCATAAGCTGTTTTAGAGAAATAGCATTAGTTTTTTATCTGCCATATCTGTTGTATTTTTTTCTAACTAGTTTTGCTCTTTTCTTTGGTATGTTTTCCAGTTTTTATGTAATAAATCTATATAGTCATATGGCATAACTAAATTTTAATGGGCTATGTATATGATGGTAGTTTCATAAAATTATATTATTTACTGATAATGATATTATAGCTGTCTTAGTTTGTGACTCTATGTTCACAAAAGGACAAAATCACCTAATGACATTTCATAGAACTGTTCCTATCATTAAGCAATGCATGACTGCATTTGCTTTTTTAAGATGATGTTAATTTTAAATAACATCATCTCCACTTTTTTTCTGTCCTTTTTATCTTCTTCATATTGGAACACATTAAATTTTAGTGTGGGGCACATATACTTCCTGATTTGATAAATTCATTTAGTCATCCAGCATGCAGTCATAAAACATACATGTTGCAGAGAATATATATAAAAAAGAAACAGGTGTTTCCAGAATAGAAATCATTCTGATTGCAAAAGGAATACACACCTCAATCTAAACTAAGTTTAATGATAAAATTTTAACTATTTTCAGGAGGCCTGGAAGTTAGCTAAATGAAAAATAGCCTTTTGCGACTAGGATTCCCTGTCATTACCACTATCACAGTCAAAACCTGACATGAAGCTAACTAGTATTTCCTGTGAATTCCCAAGGCCATCTTAATGATTTCGGATTTTTATATCTCAATGGTAACCTACAGAAAATAGCCTACCAACTGTTTTCTATCACAAATCACTAGTTTCATTTACCCTCCCCTTCAGTATATTCTATACTCTGCCTACTGAAATCCAGACTCAATCTGGCAATAAAGCAAAAACATAATTTTAGTTTTATCTTCTACTTCATCCCACAAGTTCCTCAGTGAAGCCTTTTCTATCGGAGTAGGGTTTCCTAGTACCATCCCTTCCCAGCTTGTACTAGTCCCTCTGCCTGAAATGCTTTCTACCTTCAGTGACTGCAATTCCTGTATAAGAGCCTCAAATATCAAGCACAGATATCACTATATGACCTTTTTCTTTGGAACTTTTCTGCTCTACTCATTTTTTGGGGACACTAATTATAAACTGTATCATAAGTGGGTATTTCTTACGCATTTCTGCCTGATGCGGGTTAAGGGAAAATCTAAGGTATATTTTACACAACTCTGTAATCTGAACAGTGAATTGTCCTTAACAGATACATATCCACAGAATAAGGGGATAAAGACTACTTTTGCTGTATATAGCTGTGAGGTCCTCATTTGATCCTTGCTTTTTGAGCTTACTTTAAGCGGCAGACTTGGTAACCAGGTGACATTAATGCATTATGGTGGAGGGGGTATGAGAACAAATGCAGGATCAGATTAAAGAACGAACAAGAGAAGGGAAATGGAGGATAGCCAAGTATAAATAACTCGTCCTTAAGGTTTGTCTGTAAATGGAATCGACAGAAAAATGACGAAGAAATAATGTACTAACCGTCCACGGTCTCATTAAATATCAGTAAATTTTTAAGAAAAGCTACAGTTCTTAATCTTTCCCTTTCATTTTCGACCGTAAATAAAAAGCAGGTCATGAGTACGGAGAGTTTATTAAGGATCACGCATTGTGCTGACACTTCTAGAAATCGGGAAGGGGAGTTACTGGCGGCCATACACCGAGTTCCTGGAAACCCGCGTGGGTCCATCAAGAGGCCGCATCCTTCACCCCACCACGTCCCGATTACTCGCCCGTCGAAAAGACGCAGAATAGCTGGTTTTGAGAGCACCAATATTGGCCCCACTGGTTCTCAGCCCTCGGCGCTCACCTCGTTGTTGAGGTTCAGAGACCCGGGCGGCGCCATAGTAGTAGGTCCAGACGGAGAATCCTTGGCTATCTGCACGTGAACTCCGCCGGTCACACCGCGGCTGCGTTGCTACGCCCCTCAACCTCAGGTTCTTCCGCCCTACACTGTTCCGCGTCTCCGGAAGCTGACGACTGGAGAAAAGCGACGCGACGCAGGGCGGGGGAGGAGCAGAACTGAGGGAGAGCAACTTCCGGCTCGGAGTGTGACGCGGCGGAATTGCGTGTTTCTATGGAAACGGGGAGCGGGTGGGTAGCCTGAGGGAGTTCCACTCCTGAGGTTCCCCAAAGCGCTTGTTTTTCATGACCTTGCTTTGATTATGCCTCCTAGTACTTAATCAAAGGTCGTTAGTGCCTTCTTTTTTGTTTCCTAGTGTGTGTGTATGTGTGTGAAAGCTTTAGTTACAAGGTCAAGTAGTTGTGTGACCGAGTTTTTGCTCCGATTTTTTTATTCAGCGTATGTGAAGATTTATGCGCGTTGAACAAACACGTATTATGAGAATCGCACAGCTTTTCATTCCCATATTTCTGAGGCGTAGATATGTTATGAACATTCTCAGAGGTTTACGTAAAAGCAAACTGAAGTAAATTGGACATTTGAAGCAAAACCAGAATACAGATTTTCTACAGCCTGTGAGAATGTCCGTTTTGAGGTGTTGATCTCCAGGCAAAGAAAACATAATTGAGATTTTAAGTCTGAATTAGATAATAGATAATTAGTTATTAATTATGAATTAGATAGTTATTAATTAACAATTTAATATTGACAGTTAAAATGAGTCAAATCACTTTACATGACTTAGCATCAAAATCGTCACAGAAACCCAATGAGATAGGAATTGGTGTTCTTATTTCACAGGTATGGAAACGGACCTTAGAGAAGACAAGTGTGTTGTTCAGTCATCTGCTGGAACGGTTTACTGCTACAAGACTTAAGGTACCACAACATAGTGTGTGGGGTCCAACGTAAAATGAAAATACAGAACCTTCATTCAAAAAGCTCAAAAATTGTTCTCCCACACTATCTGAACTTATCATGCTGTTTATTTACGATTTAAAATGACCCTCCCTCAAGTGCAAGACTAGTGAGGTATCAGTGCAGACCCTTAAAGATGCCCGAGATCCCTGCTCCAAGACTTGGACACTGTGCTCAAGCAAGGTGGCAACTGTGGCTATGTGGGGACCTGGGAGCAGGAAGGTTGGGACTGGACAGGACAGTACATAACACAAAGAGTGAGAGCCCTTGGTATATGTTCCTTTTTTCCCCACTGGATTTCACTTACTAAACTGAAATTCATAGATGTAATTATTAATTTCAAAATGATGACCAAAGCATGCTTAACCATGGCCCACATCTAAGCATTTGTCCATGTGACATAGTATTGTCCAGAGTCACTTCTCCTAATTCCTCTTGAATAGCTTAGACTTGTATTTGGATTTTATATTCTCATTTTTTATGTGGACCTGGGCACAAATGTTTAACTGCTGAATTCCTGTTTGCATGAAAGCAGTTTTACTATATCATACACTGAATTTTGATTGTCTTTCTTTATTAAAGCTGAATTTCTGGTGTGTAGGAGCATTTTCAGCATCGTGTGGGTAGTAGAAACATCAATTTTAAATACGTGGAAAAAAGTAATGAAGAGAAATGTAGAGCTTTAAGGAAATTATGTCTTCTATTTTGGGATAGCAATGTATTATGATCCTGTAATGCTTCAGAAGGTATATTTTAATATAAAATTCATCTGTAGATCTTAAAGGCTTTGTATCTAATTCTCATGATCATCTCAACACCTACCTTATTTCTCTGGCCACCAGAGCTTACTGAGGCTCAGTACTTTTTTTCTCCATTGCTTAGCCCATGCTCTCTCATTTGCATATTATGCTCCTCACAACCTACTTTTGTAAAAACCACTTTGGAGACCAGGCTAAATTCCTTCTATCCGTTTAAGAGTTCTTTTCATAGCCTCCTCTAAAAAGTTAATTTTTCTCACCATCAATTTTTATAGTATTTATAATTGTCTACCTTAATTTGAAATTTCCTGTGAACTGTCATTTTTAAATATTAGAATTAAGTACTCAGCAGCCTTAAATCCTCCATTTTTGCAGAGACGTTTCTTTTTCCATTTTCACAATATCCATGTAAAATTATTTGTTTCATATATATACTACTTCAAAATCAATACATCTTACTTTAATGCAACAATATAAAAATTGTTTGGTTTGTTTATAAAGGTGATTTTACTAACCTGCTCTCTTAAAGCTATGCACATTTCCTCTAGTAATAATAATAATTACTTAATGAGACTACAAATTTTTCTTGAAAACAACACATCAAACCTTTTCACTCTTTTATTCCTGAAAGGATGACTGGGCTCAATTAATTATATAAGGCTTATGAAATGACAAAGTTCTTATCATTAAAAAAAACTTGTTTGAGACCTTTTATTCTTTAGAACAGTGGTCCAATTAGTGGAACTAAGGATCCACAAACACATTCACTAGAAACTTACATTTTTCCACTTCTGGTTCTTTAAGAGCTTCTCAAATTCCTCTGTATTAGTCTATTTGGGCTGGTATAACAAAGCACCACAAATTGGGTAGTTTATACAACAGAAATTTAGTTTTTTACAGTTCTGGAGTCTAGAAATCCAAGATTAAGTAGCAACTCTTATAGGCATATAATGATATGATACTGTAGTTTTAATTTACATTTCCCTAATAACTAACAGTTAATTTCTGGTGAAGGATCTCTTCTTGACTTACAGATGGCTGCCTTCTCTTTATGGTTATATCCTCACAAGGCTTTTCCCTCTGTGCACATGTAGAGAGAGAAATCTCTAATATGTCTGCCTGTTCTTATAAAGACAACAATTCTGTTGGATTAGGATGCCACAACTATGAGCTCATTTAAAATAATTACATCATTAAAGACTTTATCTCCAAATCATGTCACATTGGGGCTTCAACATATGAATTTGAGTGGAGGCACAATTCAGTCTAATATACTTACATTTTTTGAGAATCCTTCCATATTACCTCAAAGAAAATAATCTTCTTCTCATTTTAATGCCTTATTGCTGCCATTTCTGTCATTTTTTATTTCCATAAATAGTAGTCATCCATTAATGGATCACAACTAAACATGGTTGTTTATCAATCATAATAGAATTGAAAAATAGATTCATTTTTGGACAAGTGATTTGTCAAAATTGTGAAGGGAATTCAATGGGGAAAAGATTGTCTTTTCAACAAATTATGACTGAACAATTGAATATCTATGTGAAAAACAAAAAACTACTTTGACTTGTACATCATGCCACATGAAAAAGCAATACAAGATGGTTCATACATGTAGGTTTGAAAGCTAAAGTTCTAGAAGATAATGTTGGACAAAAACTTTGACTTTTGGTTATGCGAAGGTTTCTTGGATATATAAAATCAAAAGCAGAATCCATATAAAAATATATTGATAAATAGCACCTAATCAGTAAGAAAACTTCTATCTCCCATTAGACAGTATTAAGAAAGTAAAAAAGAGAAACAATACATGGAGAGAGAATTTTTACAAATCGCATATTTTATAAGGGATTTTTATCTAGAATACATTAAGAAGCTCTAGAATCAATAAGGAAACAAATAATACAATAAAAAAGCAAAACAATATTAGCAGATACTACACTTTAAAAGATATTTGGAGAGCTGAGTGTGGTGGCACATGCCTGTATTCTTAGAAACTTGGGAGGCTGAGGCAGGAAGATCACAAGTTTGAGATCAGTCTTAACAACTTAGTGAGACCCATAGCAACTTAGCAAATAAAAAGTAAAAAAATAAAGGGCTGGAAATTTGGCTCAGTTGTTGAGTCCCTTGATTTAATCTCCAGTACCAATAAATAAATAAATTAACTAATTAAAAACAAAAGGTATGTGGATAGCAAATGAAAATATTCAAAACCATTAGTCATCAGGGAAGTGCAAATTAAAAACATAGTGTCATACCATTATACACCTAGTAGAGTATAAAATTAAGTCTTATCATACCAAGCGCTAGCTAGGATATGAAGGACCTAGAACCCTCTTCTGTCACTAGTGGTGGTGTAAAGTGGTACAGCCATGTTAGAAATAGTCTGGCAAGTTTTTAAGAATTTATGCATCCACCAGCCATACGATGTAAGATTTTTTTCTTGAATCAATAGAAAAATGGAATTAGGTATCCTTTCAAAGAATTGTGTATTAATCCTCAGAGCAACTTTATTTGGAGCAGTTAAAATATAAAAACAATCTAAAATTCCATTCAACAGGGATATACTATGACACATATGCAAGCATGCACACACACACACAAAATACAACACCACTCAACAATAAAAAAGAATGATATATACTTCAACATGGGTAAATTTTAAAATAGTTATGCTAAGTGAGAGAATCCAGACAAAAAGAATATATACTATTCCATTTATGTAAAACTCAATTATACTAAGTCTAGGAAATGCAAACTACTGTGAAGTAGGAAAAAAAGATCAATGATTGTTTGAGGAAGTATTAGAGAATGGTTGGACATGTAGAAGGGAGAAATGACAAAGGATCCTGAAGAAACTTTTAGAGTGGATTAACATGTCCATGATTTTGTTTTTGGTAAGTGTATACATATGTCAAACATTAGTTTTGTGCAGCAACCTCATTAAAACTTAAATATTCCTACTATTAAATCAAAAGTTCTACTTTTAGCACAAAACTATAGTAATACTGCTACAAGTCAATGATGTATATGTAAAACTGTTATCTAAATGAAATAAAAAAATAGAGGAAATTTATCCATCTATGCAGAATGATCAGGTTAAGGACCTATTAAAAAGAATATTGACTCTTTGTTTACTGGAATGGATGAATTTATGTATTTTTTAATGAATAAGTCAAGTGGAACTATACTGGAGTACGCTATTATGTGTGTTTGGAAGAAGAATATGTGATATGACATATTCTTCTTTCAAACAAATGTTATGACTCTACTTTTGTACAACCAAAGACATGAAAAATTGTGATCTATGTGT